TGAATCGCATAATGAAGAGTGTATACAATTTTCAGTGTACACTTGAAAACTCACAGTTATAGAATCCAGCCCCAGGTGTAGGTTGTATGATTCAAATGTGTTTCGTATTCTTCCGGATTTTTTTTTTATACCCGAGCGCACTTGTGCGCAAGGGTATTATAACTTTGTTCACATAACGGTTGTTTGTAACAGGCAAAACGAATCGAGATAGATATAGACAAATGTATACATAAATGATCAGAATGAAAAGAGAAATCGATTAAGCGGTGACTGTCTGTCCGTCCGTCCGTCCGTCCGTCCGTCCGTCTGTCCGTCTGTCCGTCTGTCCGTCTGTCCGTGTACACGATAACTCGAGCAAAAATTGAGATATCTCAACGAAATTTGGTATGTAGGTTTCCCTTAATCCAAGGTAGGTTGGTATTGAAAATGGGCGAAATCGGACTTTAACCACGCCCACTTCCCATATAACGGTAATTTCCAGAAATACGAAAACTGCGATATTTTAGTAACTACTGAAGATAATTCACTCAAAATTGATATTTACAATAATTTTTAGACGAAAAATAAGAATATTATAAATTTTTGGAAAATGGGCGTAGCCACGCCCACTTATGGTTACATGTGTATATCTTGGTAACCGCTGCACCAATTTCTTCCAAACTTGGCACAGTTGTTGGCCTTGGTACAGCATACAAAACCGCCGAAACTTTTTAAAATCGGACAATAACCACGCCCACATCCCATATAACGGTAATTTAGAGAAATACAAAATCTTCGATAAATCAGTAAATATTGAAGCTAATTTATTCAAAATTGATGCTTGCAACAATTCTTTACCAAGAAATACGTTTATGGTAAAATTTTGGAAAATGGGCGTGGCACCGCCCACTTATGATCACATATATGTATCTCGCTAACCGTTCTAGCAATTTGAACCAAACTCGGTATGGTTATTGTGCTTGCCACATAAAAGCAAAGCGTTGAAAATTATTGAAATCGGACTAAAATTACGACCGCTTTTCATATAACGGTATATTTCAGAAATGCTTGAAACTGCAATATTTCGAAATTTAAGGACGCTAATTTACTTAAAATTTATACACCCCGGCTTATCGTGTAGCGGTAGCTTTCGGAAAGGTGGAAAACATATATTTAATAATTGCGCCGGGTATTTAATGTTCGGCTCCGCCCGAACTTAGACTTTCTTACTTGTTTGTAAATGCACTAAGCGTAATATGATTTTCAAGAAAGAGGCAAAATGTAGCGCCTTCCAATCTAAACAAAATAAAAAATAATAAACAAAACGGTTCTAGGCTCAGTGGTACCCCAATTGTTAGTAGGTACTTACATATCTATTCGATGTGAAAGCGCCTTATCCAAGGCTGAACTTTTTTATCCGGATGCTGATACTATCATTTCAGCAATCTTCACAAAATAGGTTGAAGTATTGGCAAAAAATGTCAGTCAAACATTGTGCAATATCAATTGCTGGTGACCACTAGAATCTATAAATCTTTGCTGCTCTACTATGTGTTTTGTACACTTTGGTCATTCGAGCTTATCGCTTGTTGTTGTCATTGTGTAGGTAAAGTAAAATGTGCTATTTGAGCATTTTATGTATTGCGTAATTAATATCATAATTGTTTCTGTTTATCTCTTAATTAAGTGGGATTTATTTATTGACCTGCGTCGATAATCGAGTTAATATTTTAATGGTCGGATTTAGTTAGTCAAAGGAACGCGCATGCAGCAAATAGCAATACAAACACGTTTAGCTCGAAAGCAAATTGCTACATATGTATGTGGATATTCATAAATGCGTATGTATGTATGTACATATATGCATGCATTTATGCAATTTCTATGGAAATATATCTGCATGCTTTATAAAAATATATTTCATTTTGGCGCTTACACTTTTGCTAAGCGCTCGGCCAAGTTTCTCCTCCAATTTGTCGTCCATGTCTTGATGTTGTTACATAGATGGAGAATGTATTTTATGAGAATCTTATAGATGGCAGAAATGTGGTCGAAGTCTGGTATGCCATTGGCTCCCGACGGGCGACCGCTGTTAAAAAAAAGACTGTTTCTAATTTAGATGTTGGATGCTGCTCTGACCTGGGATCGAACCCAGATACTGTGGTATGGTAGTACTCACCTATAACCACTCAGCAACAGCGACCGCCTACATAAATATGTATATACAATTGAGAGTTTTTATATATTGTAATATGCACTCAAAGTTGAATCATTAAAAAAACTAGATTAATGGCTTTATATATTTTTCACATTTCTTTTAATGTTTGCTAAAATTTTACGAATGCGACTTGCCGCATACAGTGTATATTTAACTACATTCAAATAATTTTAATGTGATTGTTGTTGTAGGTGCAATTGTTGCAACACTAAATTAAATGGTCATTGAACTTGTTATGCATCTGTGTAAAGTACTTTGAACTCTGCAGGAAAAGCTGTAGTTAACAACAAATTTTTAGTAAACTTCTGGTCCGATACTAAAAGAACTAGCAAATAGTAGTGAAATTTAAATAGGAGTGTTTAGGGTTGCGTTCTTCCTCCCGGTAAGACCTAGGCTTGATTTCTTGTCCGGCCGCCCATCAGCAAACATTACATTGTGCATGCGGCATTGAAAGCCTTTCTTAAAAAGCCCACTGCCGTTCGGAGTCGGCGTAAAACGTCAGGCCCCTCTCCGTTTTTTGTAATGACATGAAGACAAGCATAACGAAATGGCCAAACGATTCATTTTTTGTATAAGATAAATGCAAATATAATTTTAAAACAAATTTATATACATATTTTTTTCTAATCCAATCTAGGATCTTCCGAAGTGCATGAAAACACTTTTCCCTCTATCGGTTATTGTTCGATTTTTTTGCATGGATATACGAGTATGTTCATGCCGTTTTGGTGCTTGATCTTCTAAGAAGTGAATTTCCACTAGGCATTGTAATGACGAAAAATATGTGCCATTTAAAAAAACGCGACGTGAAGCGAATTTAATGACAATTTTTCTTAACGTAATGGCAAGGGGTTTTATAACGCCCAACTTCGTCATTCGAATGGTGCCATTTAAGCTTTATTGGAGATAAATTATTTGTTAAGGAATGTATTATTAAATTAGTTAATATTTTATTTGCCCATATTAAAATAAATTGAAAAAAAAAATACTTAATTGAAGAAATTATGGTAACCCTATTCAAATGCCATTTTGATCGAAACAGCTAACCTTCAATTCGTTTTGAGTTTTAATGATGTTTATACACTCTTCTAACTGGAGAAATCAACAACCGATTTTAAATTGAGTGTGAGCCAAAATGTCAAGTGGCTGCCAGCGAATTGAAAACCAGTCGACTTATTCATACGTATGTATGTACAAAGGTAGTAACTGTGTTGCGTTTTCCTACAGGGTTTCTTTATCCTCATACATGCAAAAGTACATAAAAAGTACGTACATATTTCTCATATCTCTGGATGTGTGTATGTAATGCTTTGTAGGCATCAAGTGTCAAGCTCTAATTGGATGTTATTGCATAATTACTCAAAGCTTAATTTAAACGAGCTCTGATAGGTATTCAAGTGTGCAGTGGACGTTTATGTAGAAAACTAAAAATAGTAGTTTCTCATAAATTCTTACTTCTGAGATACAAACATACATATGTATGTAATAATTTTTGAGGAATAATTTTTTTTCCTGGATGGCATTATTAAAAAATAAAGTTTCAAAAACTATTCCTACAACTGTAAAAACATCTTATAAGTTTTTATTTGTTGTTACGTTAGGCTTTCTTATGATTTTATGTGAGTTCATGCGTTATGTCATTTTATGTATGTTCGTACGCTATTAATCTTACAATAATTTATATTATATCCAAGCATATGTATGTACATATGTATATACATACACTTACCGCCGAATGGATAAATTAATGTCGTACGGTAGGTTTGACGAGTTTTAGGAAACAGATTGGAATTAACTTTCTCAAAAATGCATACATTTTCTCCAAAGTCTCAGAGAATGTTATTAGTTCGCGAATTTCTTAAATTTTTTTGCCTTTACTTTTATTATTAATTATTTGTATTTATTTATTATGGTATTATGACCTATGTACATATATAAGACTGGTCCAAATAAAAATCAAAGATGGGGTTCGGGGCACATTCCAAAATTTTCCCTCTTGCTGGAATAGGTGCTGGCACCATACCTTACTTTTATAGGTATAAATTTAGAAGATGTTGAAGAAATCTTTATATTTTACTCTAGAAGAAATTCAAACTTAAATTAGCTGAAAAAACATTACACGGTTCATTGATATGGCAACAGTAGCTTTTTAAAAAAATTATCGATCGTTTTGTCTGTTTCAAATGGAGTCAGTAGCGCATTTCAAGATCATTGAGCAACCTTTATTGGTTACAGTAGAAATTGAAAGTTTTTATAGGTAGTATGTCAACTACCAAAAGGAAAAACTGAGAAAGCGCCCCGTTTTCTACGATGAAATTTCAGAAACGTTTAAGATTTGGTTCAAAAATGCCCTATCTCAGCTGCCGATTCAAAAACATATTTTGAACCGAATTTTGAGATAGGGCGTTCTTGAAAAATTTTCTGAGATAGGCCGTTTTTTAATCAAATTCTGAATTAGGGCATTCGTCAATCGAATTCTGAAATAGGGTGTTTTTGAAAAGTTGTCTGAGATGGGACTTTTTCGAGATGGCTGCCCATATAGGTCGATCTTTCGCTCAGGTGTTGATATAAACATATAACAAATATTACAAATCTGGCATTTTTCATTAAAAGGATTTATGATTTATTTATGACACAATTTGACTTATATCTGTGGAAGCTTGTCCCAAAACTTTATTATCGTCACGTATTTGTATTTTTATTCTCATGCAAGAAGCATTTAACATATATGTAAGTAAATATTTATCTTCTTTCTATTTTTATTTTCACAATAATAACCACGTTTTTCTTTTTTTCATTTCAGGTGAGTCCTCAACTCTATTACCCCGTTATACAAATGCCGCTAGAATTAGTAAGTCCACCATTTAATTTAACTAATTTAATTACTGTCTAACCACTTTAAAAGGCTACTTGATTACCCCTTTCCTTTGAACAATTCATTTGTGCCACAGAATTTCCACTTTTTCCCGGTTCACACTTTGAGAATGCATTTGCAGAAATCCACTTCATTTTTGGTCTATTCAAATTGTTTATTAAACTAATGGATATTTAACTCAACTCAACGCACAAAATCTCCAAAAGCCTTTATCACTTTGCCGGTCCAAAATTTCGCAAACGAAAAGTATTCCCTTTACCCTTCATCCGAATTTCCACTGTAGTGAATGTCACTCCCTTGATTTCCTATTCAACATTGTTTTTCTAATTTCCCTCAAATATTTATGCCTATTTAGCGAAAATTAATTAGCAACAAGATACCCGTTCTTGGCGATGGAAAATCCGATGTTATGAAAGGGAGAGGACTTAAAGGAGTGGTGCTATGCTGTACACAAGCTTTTGTCGGTCGTCACACCCGCGGTTATTACGCCGTAATTATGACTGGCATTCATAGCTACTTAGTAGCTGCTGCATTTTTATTTTCATTTTTGTGTTGCCAGGCTCAGGCCCAACGTAGGAGTTGTTGTTGGTTAGTGGCCTGTTGTTTGCTTATTTTGGCAAATGAATTTCGCTATTTTCTATTTATCGCAAATTTATTTGGTGTGGGTAGAAAACAAAATGCTTACATTGTTCGAGTGCTTATCAGCTCGCCCTCTTTCGTTCCTATTCTAAAGGAAAATTTTCAATAGGCGAACAAAATGCGAAAGTTCTTTTACCGCACCACACTCGATTCGCTTCGCTCGGCAATGCTGAGAATGCCTCACTTAAATGAATTTTAGATCAATCTGTTGCTAATTAAAGTTCATAGAAAGCAACGAAATTGAAACGCGTATCAAAGCGAAAAGTTGAAAGTTACTCCTCGGCTGCTGTTCGTTATATGCTACTTGGCAGGCGGGAATAGTGAACACAACCCCCTACGCTACGGCTGGAGGCGTCCACAATACCCCTTGCCTCTCGCTTCTTCTTCTTTGGAAAAGGTAAACAAGTTAATGAGTTCACCACCACAATCGAATCAACAGAACGTGAAAGTCATGCGACCCCCACACAGCCTATCGGTGGGCTTAATTTTGCTGGTGGGTTTATTTAAATCCTAGCAAACGCTACAAATCAATACGCAATGCTAAATTGGCAACTTTTTACCTTATCAGACTATTCGGACCACGTCTCGCAACCAGTAGCTGGTGCTTCGCTCGCTCAATGCCTCTTTTGCTATTTCTTAAGTCATTTCAATATTAGACCTCATCACTGCAAAAACATCTCGGGATTTTGCTCCGTCACTCTCCCAGTGGGTTGTTGGAGATATTGCGAGGCATAAATTAAATTGCAATTGTCGCGCTACTCCCAAACTTACATAGAATTTTTGACATTTTCGCATTACTCCGCATCCCGCACTTATATTTCGTCGTTTAAAGTACAAAACCGCGTAACGTCATTCTGAATAACCGCGTAACTGACATTTGCTGCCAAAAATTGGATTTGCTCACACAAGCTCTTGGCTCAATCCTTATCCATTCGTCCTGAAATATTCTACCAAGAAATGCAATTGCTTTATAAAAAAGAGAACCATTTTCAAATATTAGTGTTTTTACTCTCTAGAAAATAATTTATGATACCTCACATACGCGGTTTTGTACTTTAAACGAAATGTGGGTGAAATATCTGTACATATGTATGTATACCGCACCTAGTTACTCCGCCGTCTGTTTTTTTTTACCAACTGGCTGCTTCAAGAATTTTCTATGCGCAACAGTGTTGCCAGGTTGCCGTTTTTACCGTCATTTGCACGTTTTTTTGTATCCTGTTGACGTTTGGACGTTTTTTGTGTAAAAAATAATTGTAATGTTTCTCTGTTACTAAATCTTGTAAGTAGAACAGATATTGAATTATTTTCTTAATAAATCTTAATCAGCTGATCACAAGTGTACGTATAAAATGATTTTTATATTAACGATCTCAAACCAGTGAATTTTAAATGTGCTCTGTCGAGATGACATTTTAATATATGTATGTACCTTTGTATACAATAAAAGTTTAATAAGAACAATTCTCTGGGCATGCATTTGAAAAAGACATTTTCGGGTAGGAAATTACGTTTTTACCTTCCTTTTATTAGCTCGGGATGTAACTATGTAATATTGATGCGCCTAAAAGATGCAGCGATTTCTATTCTCAAGTTACATACCTGATGACAGTACGAATGGCAATTATAATAGGGAGGTTTTAGTTTTTTAAACTATAATTTTATTTCAGACCAAGAGCGACGTTTTCTCATGCCGAAGATCTGGCAACACTGCTACGCAAACAAATTTGAATTAATGTGTAAAAGGAATATGAGTAACATTACCCGCGCTGCCTATTCATTTGCGTAATGCTGTTCTTTAGCTCTTCGCCGGTGCGTTTCATATTTGTTGTTGGCAGCTCGACTGTAACGGTGACTGTGACGGCGACAGCATCAGTTTGGCTTATTAGCAAGAAAAGTTTTTAACCACTTTGAAATCGCCTACTTTGTGCGCCTGCAAGGAGACTCCATTCCTAGGTTACTTGCCCGCCCACTGACTCTCCGGCATCTCTGTCACTTCTGCCTGACTTTGCATGTGACCGGGTAATTTTGTTTTTCCTATTGTGATTTTGTTGTAGCTGTGGCAACTTTATCGCTGCTGTTTGTTTGCTGTGGTATATTCGATTGCGCGACATTGCGGGGCATGCATGCCAATACACGTACGCCCAATATACATGCATACATATGTATGTAGGTAAAATTATTGACAGGCCAAAGTTGCTGCAATTTTTTGTACTCTTTCTATTTTGCCGCCAGTTGCTGAACTCATTTCATGTTGTTTTATTATTGTTTGCGACAAGTTTGCCGACCGAGTGGATGCCTAACTAACGCTTTCCCCCTGGCACACAATGGGCAAGCAGTTGAATGCATGTTGCTAAACTTATGTGTGGCACGTCCACGCAGTAAAAGTTTTGACTGCGAAGGGCGTGCGCTACTTAATAGAAATCGTTATTTTTGTTGTTATTAGCAAAATTTGCGCAAAGTTGATTAATAAATCGAATGAAGTAACTGAGGGAAGAGTTTTACGCACTTTTTCGCTGCAAAGTGAATCGAATATTTTAAGATTTAAATTTTACGCAAACGAGTTTAGAAAATTTTTAGACATCTTTGAGATGCTCGTAACTCTTATCTATTTTACCTGCAATTTTTACAAAGATAAACATTTTCTTTTGGTAAAGTTTTTACTTAAATAATTAGTTATGCCAAAAACAGCAAGGCGGCTACTATGATGCTCTTTCCAATTTAGCAAAACACCATAACAAAGCTGAATTTACACAAAAGCTGTGCTATCAAAATATTAGCACGCAAATTGCTTGCACATACCTCCGCAATCTTATCATATTTTCTTATTCAGTGCACTATGAAATTTACGAATTATCAGAACTATAAGCCGAGACTTTACAAAGGAGACAAATGATTTCTTTGTGTGTTTAGTCCTTTTATGACCATTTGAGGCGATTCGAATACAGCAAAGTTTGTAGTAGTCCCCCTATTTTGGAAATAAGGGAATTTTGGCAAAATATGTAAGTATGTACATTTTTGGCTCCTGCTTTACAAATTGATGTTTTCGAAAGCCTTACTATTTACATGAATATCCCTTTTTTGATAATTAAAAGAAATAACATGTTTTTGGTAAAAGGTTTTTTTCCTCAACAGATAAGTTTGACTTTTAAACCGGGAACTATATCCAAAATGCATCGCAAGAGAGCAAGCTTAATTTCAAATAACCAATTCCACCAATTCCGCGGGATTCGCGTGTCTGAAAAAAAATCATATTATATCCTCTAAAAAGTTATATTCAAAATTGATATGTAAAAGAGACGATTTGATTTAGGAACTTTTGATTTTGGTGATTATGCATAGTTTCGTAGGTATATGGTCAAAATCGCTATATCTGTTGGGTATTTTCCAGAAGAAAATAAATCATAATTAGAGCTGCTGTAGTTTTTTATCCGTTCTGAAACAATAGTCGCTCGCTGTAATCCAAAAACTAGCTGAAACGTCAGTGATTATGGATTATTCAAACTAAGTTTTGCTGTTTTTCCGCGTAACTTTTTACCGTTTTAGATTTGAAAATGGCGTTGAAGTAATATATAAAATACTCTTATAAATTACACCGGAGCTGAATGTTTGCCTCTGATAGAACCACAGTTATGAGTAGAGCTCGGATTTTTATCCAAATTGAATATGCAAAATTTATGCAAAAAATATGCAAGAACTATGAAAAATATATATAAAAAAATATAATATGCAAGCAGGGGTTCCGTGGTTGACCGAACTCCTCTTGTCGCTGCATTCAGTTAGCGGCCCAAGTCTACTGAATGCAGCGACAGGAGGAGTTCAGTCAGCCACAGAAGAGGGTTTCCCCTGCTTGGGCTGAAAAATGCTTCCCTCCAGAAGCGCTCATCCATTTAGCATTACAAATGAATTTCAATATACATTTTAATTTGCAATAACACATATTTGATATAAACCTTAAACAAGTACTTTAGAGATGTATGAATTGTATAAATCAAAGAATCAACTTTGAATGAACTCCTTAAAAAGGCCTTCTGAAGTACGTCCTATAAAAGCCCTTCTGGAAGACCCTCTATGGGTAGCGAAATAAGAAGCCAGTCCACACAAAAAAGGAAGGAGAAAGGAATGTGGAGCGGAAGGCCTTTCGGAAGTGCTTTTAACTCCTGAAATTATCTACTGGATTATGAAATGATGTCGTCGGTTAAAGTACACAACCGCGCATCGTCATTATGCAAAAACAAGCTTTTAGCTAAATCCTTATCCATTCGTCCTGAAATATACTAGCCAGAAATGCGATTGCTTTATAAATAAAATAATGTAAAAAAATATTTTTTTAAAAA